CACATGACGTAAGCTGCTGCCCAGAGCTTTGTCTGTGAGTCAAATGGCTGAGGCGTTTAGGAGTCTAAAAATGTACATTTGGCATTCAGATTGTCTGCATTCAAACAGGAAAATCACAGGCTTGTGAGCTGTGCTAATGGTTCACGAGCACGAGGCTGTGTTACCAGGTACTGTCACCAAGTGCCTGGCATGTGGCCACTCTCTTCCTCCCTCTTCTCCTCATTGCTGTATTAATAGACCATGACTGCATTCAAAGGTTCAGATATATGAAGCTAGGAATTGCAGAGAGGATGAAAAATGGATCTAAGTAATGTGGTTCTTAGGCAGTTTTTCTCATCACCTGGAAAGAGTTAACTTTCATCAGCTTTCGCATGGGCTGAAACAAGGGAGGTGGTGGAGTCACCATCCCTGGAGGTGCTCAAGGCCCATGGAGACGTGGTCAGTTAAGGGTCAGCTAAGGGACACGGTCAGTAGGCTGTATTGGCAGTAGGAGGATGGTTGGACTCAATGATCTTGAAGTTCTTTTCCAACATTAATGGTTCTATGATTCTATGATGTCAGACCCTATTTCAGTTTGTGGTGCACTTAGAGCCACATAGACTGTGACACCATGCTGTACAACATCCCCACCTTCCTTGGGCTGGGACACTTTTGTCACAGGGCAGCAGATATTTAAGTAGGAAACACAAGGAATCAACCCTGATGGGAGTTTTTGTACACTGTGAACAGGAACCCATTGGCAACAAGGGACCAAGCCCAAAGTTCATCCAGGGCAAAGTACTGGAGAGAGCTAAAGACAGCTGTCTGTTTGCAAGATATATTCTCCTTCTCCCAGAATAAGACATTTGTGTAACATCATCTTTCAATCTCCACTTGTTTCTTGTTTCCTTGCAAAATTGCACGTTCTATGTGAAAGAACATGGCCATTAAAAGAAAGTGGGCCCATGGAATAGGTGTCTGTTTCCTCCCCTGTGTGGGAGAGCAGACACTTTTTTCCTGATGTTTTGCTTAAGCTCTGTCTCAGAATGATGCACAAGATGGAGAAAAGGAGCCGAATCTGACGAATGAAATTCTTGAATGCTGAATGTGAAATATTTGCAGATAAAAATGGCAGTAAAAGAAACAAATGGAAAATCATTTCTTATGTAAGAACACAGGAGGAAAGTGTCACAGTGCTGACAGTTGTATCAGACATGCAGCTTAAATACTGCTAAGAGAAGGTTCAAAACAGAAGGAGCTGTTTTACAAGGCAGGTAGGAGAACTCTAAATTGTCTTGCCCAAGAACAGAGTTGCTAAATATCTATATGAATTTGAGTGGGAGAGTAGACGAATCATCCAATTCAGGAAATAACTTGGTTGGAAGGGAAAGCTTGGTATCTCTGGTTTTATGAGCTGCTCGAAGGATAGACAGCTTCAAAGGTAGATGGAGTTACTCAAGGTCTGCTCTAGTGGAGATCTGAATAACTCCAGCTGTACCCTTGGGAGCACCAGGCCCAGCACTGGCAGCTGGTAGAGCACTGAGATGCATCAAGTGAGGGTCAGGTGGGGGTTATGGAAAGGCTCTGTTCCACAGGGCAGTAGGGATGGCCCTGAGCTGCTGGAGCTCAGGGAGCAACACTGGGACATTGCTCTCAGCCATAGGGTTTGGCTGCTGTTTGTAGATGGGGGTTGGACACAGTGATCCTTGTGGGTCACTCTCAGCATCTCACTGATATCTCACTGATAAGGGTACTGGCCCTTGCTGAGCACTGTGCATCCCCTAGGAGAGGCAAGATGTCCTGTCCCTTTATTTTTTGCCCAACTACATCTGGGACATCCCAGCTGCTGGGAGACCAAGGGGAGAAATAAGACAGAGGTCTTCAAAAACATAACTGACCTGGGCACGGTGCATGGAGATGATTGGTTTCAAACTTAAAGAGGGTAGATTTAGGTTGGATATTAGGAAAGTCTTTCACAGTGCGGGTGGCAAGGCACTGGAACAGGTTGCCCAGAGATGTGTTTGATGCCCCATCCCTGGAGACACTCAAGGCAAGGCTGGATCAGGGTCTGGGCAAACTGATCTACCTGTGGTGTCCGTGTTCACTGCAGGGAAGATGCACTGGATGACCTTTAATGGTCCCTTCCCACTCTAAGGATTCCATGGTTCTATAACCCCTCACTCACCTTTCTAAAGGCAGGGCTTGAGTGGAGGTGAAGAACATGGGGATTTTGCTGAGCTCTCCACACAACTCTCCAGCATGCATTTCTCAGCTGAGCCCATCTACAAAGTGCTGACTTGAGGCAGCTGTGAGGTTTTGAACACAGAGACACACTGGCTTTCACTGCCCTGGGCTTTTCGTTACATCTCTAGCTGATCTCCACCAGCTTTGCTCAATGTCATTATCAAAAATTTCCAAACCCCAGCTGGGGTGGCTGTAGGGGTTTGTCAAAATTGTCTTTTCTCTCCAGATCACTTCTGTGTGTGTTTCTGTACATATTTCCTCTGCACGCGGAGTGGGATAAAAAGCTGACTTGAGACCTACTCATTTTATGCCTGAATTACTTCGATTTTCTCTGCCCGAGGCTCCTCATTCTTTTCCACCGTGTTGCTACCGGTCTGCTGGGAATCTCTCCTTTCCTGTGAAAGTTTCTTTTGTCCTCCAAAATGTGCACTTTTCCCAGTGATCTCCAATTTCTGCCCCTTAGATCTCACGCAGCTCTGCTAGACACTTGTGTATGCACGCTCAATTTCAAAACGGCTCAAATTTATGTCCAGCCATTTTTATCTATTTATTTTTTGGGCGATGATGCACTGATTCCTGTCTGATATAAAAAAAAATGCAACAAAACAGAGTGCATTTTCAGCATGGTTTAGCAGTGCCTCTGCAAGAATCTCGAGTCGCTTAGCTAAACGGTGGGTGCTCACTTGGGCGTGGAAAAGGCCTTGGTGTCTTTGGATGCGTATGGCTTTATTTAACCTAAGTACAGTCTTACCCTGGAGAGTCAAAAAGCAGAAGGCAAAGGTGATATTGACACAGTTTAGGTAACACTGCTGGAACGTTCATGAGAGACCCCTCAGTATTTTGAGCAAAATGCTTTGTTTCAGTGAAGCCGTCTCCAGCGTTTGGGATTCTCAAAAAGCAGTCTTAGCACTAAAGACTGAGGCAAAGGAGTTATTCAGTTGCTCCACCACATTTAGCAGCAGACCTGCATTTTCCCTGGTCTTCCTTCTGTTATTGACACACTTAAAGACACCTTTCTTGTTATCCTCCATCTCCCTGATCAGGTTTAATCCCAAGTGGGCCTTAGCCTTCCCTGTTACATATCTGATGGCCTCACAACCTTCCTATATTCCTTCCAAGGGCCCAGACCCCTTTTCCAAATTATAAATACTTTCTTTTTCCACTTGAGTTTTTCCACAAGCTCTTTGCTCATCCATGTGGGTCTTCTGCCACCTTTGCCTGACTGCTTACTCTTCAGACTGCATCAATCTTGACCTTGCAAGTGGTGCTTGAGTGTCAATCAAATCTCTTGTGTCCCTTACCTTCCAGTGCTTTAACCCATGGACATTCCATTCCAGGACAAACATTGATTTTCACAGAATCACAGAATTGTAGGGGTTGGAAGGGACCTCCAGAGATCATCGTGTCCAACCCCTTTAAGACAAACCATTCTGCATGATCCTTAACTTATGAGAACTGTTGTATTGGATCATCCACAATCATATTCTTTCCTCCTTTTCCTCCTGAGGAACAATCAGTTTGGAAAAAAAACCACACCACTTTCCATATGCTTTCACTTAAAAGGATCAAACACTTAGACTTCATAGCTCCTCTCCATTCTGTTTTTAAGCAGTGCTAGGCTTACCATCAGAACAGGGATGTTCAGAGGAATTAAGCGAGATTACGAACTCTGAAGGCAGTTTAAGAACTCATAACACAGAAAACTAGTATAAACTTGTCATTACCACCTTATGCATATATATATATACCAGAGCAGAACAAACCAGATTTTTGCTATGTGCTGACTATGAAGTGTTCCATCCTGGGGGCTTTTGCATCCTGGCAAGACATTCTGAATTAGCATCTGGTTAGTTTTAATCCTGACAGTGCAGTCAAAAGGGCATCATTAGCTCCATGGCAGGGAAGAAGATGGAGAGCTTAGGGAGGAAATCAAACCCTGAAGCAAAAACACATCCCTGTGGCCAGTCAGATCCAGTGACCAGCTGCTACTAAAATGCTGTGACAGAGCTGATGGTGGCCCAAAGTGTTTTCTGGGTGGAGAAGACTTGTTTTTGATAAGTCAGTCCAGAGATGGGCAGTCAAAGGATGACCTAGAGACATGTGGGTGTGAGAGTGCATATTGCACGGGCTTGGAAGCAGAGGCATCGTGAAAATTGCAACCAAGATGGGGAAGGATGATGGGTAACAAAGTGCACTAAAGTGACAAGACAATGACATTCTAAAGTAGGGAGGTTGTAGCACCTGCTGATGTTCTGGAAATGTGGAAGAGAGTGAGGGTATGCTCATGTCATACGGTGTCTCGTTGCATCCCTGGGATCCATGTTTTGCAAGGTGAAAAATCACAGGAGAATCTCAGGGATACCCCTCAATTTTCCCTGGGCGATGGCAATCTTATTCGGAAGAACATTGGAGAACAAATCTCAACTTCTGGCATTGCTTTGTGTTCTGGGCAGGAACATATGACTGTAGTGATAAACAGCATCTTTGGAACATACGGAACCTTAGACTCATACAGTATGAGTCCCCGTTCTTTGTCTTGCATCAGTACTTACCATGGAGGCTCCTATAGTGGAGGGTGGGCTGCAAAACTCCTTCTCAAGCCCTTATCTGAACAGTAGAACTTTCTTTCTGATCAACATCTGACCCCATGGAGCATTGTCTATGTCCTCTTTCTGTTGACGCATGTTTGATGCAACAGGTTTGGTCAAGAGCAAAGATGAATGCAGAAAAAGAAACCCCACCAGTACATAAACACAAAAAGACACTTTAAAGCCCAAATACCCTAAGAAATTACACCAAAATAAAGAAACCAGTCTTGTATATGTATTTTTTAAAAAAGATACATCAATTTTAGTGTATTTTTTCAAGCTTGCTGGACATCGTACTGAAGCACTGTAAAGCTGTCAGAGAAATTATATACTTTTTTTTTCTGTTGTCAACCAAAGCGTGCTTTCATGGAGTCAATTAGCCACAGATTATGAACACACATCACTTGTCTGAGAATGAATTACAGTACACCCCAATAAACATACCCATCTTTGCTCACTGGTTATCCCCATGATGGGGATGGCATCAGATTTTCCTATCCAACCATAAAGGAAACTGCATGTTCGTGTTTCATCCTGCAAGTGTGCCTCTTTCAAATGCTGCAGTGCTACAGTGTGAGGGGAAAGAGGGTCATTGGTGTTACTGCTCTGGCGTGCAAACCTGGACATGAGCTCAGTGTGAAGACTGCATTTACACCGGTGGAAAAAGTTCGTATAAGCTGGGATGGCATGAGTGCTTGGATCTACAATGTAGCCTATAACTGCTGTTGTATCTGATAGAGAACTGCAGTCAGCATCATCTTTACATGGCATATTATGTGCTTTCCACCGACCTTAGAGCCCTTTTTGAAGGTGGAGAGCCACAGTCCCATTGAGATTTTTTTGTTCGGTTGGGGGGTTGCTTTTTCTTTCCTCTCTTTTTTATTTATTTATTTATTTATTTAACAGGTGGGGAAACTGAGGCACAGAAAGGTGGTGTGATTTGCCCACAGTTGGTGGTAGACCTTGAAACCCCCAGTCTCTCTCTCAGCTGCTCAACTCCCACCTGGGACATGGTGGAATGGCTGTTTGCTTGGTTCTCTTGGGGGAGAACTGCATCTCCTCCAGGAGAGAGGGGAAAAGTGTCACTCTCAGTGGCAATGTCTGGCAGTGGGCAACAGCACCCACAGTTTCTGCCACCCCAAGAGGCAGGAGAAGCAAGGAACCTGAAATGGAGGGGCAGGAGTTTGCTGGTCAGGCACTGAATTGGAGGACACAGCTCTACAGGATGCATTCGTGTCTCTCTGTGGCTTTCAGGGCCTCGTGCATGCTGGCGGCAGAAAGTCTCCTGTTGATATTCCTGTACCTGCACCTCAGAAGGTTCCAGAAGGTAGTCCTCAAGTCTCGGTTAAAGAAAGCATAAATTAAGGGATTGATGAGGGAGTTGGTGTATCCCAACCAGAGCAGAGTCCTCTCCAGCCTCAGGGGCAGGCAGCTGCAGTGTATACCACAGATAAAAGGCCGAGCCGTTGACATAAGGAAGAACGGCAGCCAACAAAATGTAAAAGCCCCCACGATTATACCAAGGGTCCTGGCTGCTTTTTGTTCCCGTTTGAAGATGGAAATATTCTTCCGGTCTTGCCGGAGCAGTTTGGAGAGAGTGGCACATTCCTCCACCGCCTTGGTGCGCTTGGAGCTGGGATGGCCGCGGCTGGAGGCCTCCAGGCAGTAGACACCCTCCTCTTCGTAGTGCTTGGAGAAGTTCATGAAGCGGTGCTTCTCAGCGCTCACCTTGGCAGCTTTGTAGATCCGGCTGTACATGACGAGCATGACCGCCATGGGGATGTAAAAGGCGACCCCTGTGGAATAGACCGTGTACCCAAAGTCCTGGCTGATCAGGCAGACTCTTTCCACGGTGACGTTCTTAGCCCAGCCAAAAAGAGGAGGAAGCGTGATGGAGGCGGACAGGAGCCAAACGATGAAGACCATCTTGGCCATCAGCTTCCCGTTTTGTCTCACGGGATACGTCAGTGGCCGAGTGATCCCCAGGTACCTGGAAGAGGAAGAGTTGCAAAGCTCAGGAGGGTTTTGAGGCATAAATACTTCTTACAGAATCATAGAGTCCTTAGGGATGGAAGAGACCTCTAAGATCATCTAGTCCAACTGCTCCTCTGCCACCAGTATTACTCACTAAGCCGTGTCCCTGTGTATCAAATCCACACATTTTGCTTAGTATTGGGTGATTTTCACTCCTAACTAGTGGTGAGGCCCTGGAACAGGTTGCCCAAGGAGGCTGTGGATGCCTCATCCATGGAGGCATTCAAGGCCAGGCTGGATGTGGCTCTGGGCAGCCTGGTCTGCTGGTTGGTGACCTGCACACAGCAGGGGGTTGAAACCAGGTGATCACTGTGGTCCTTTTCAACCCAGGCCATTCTGTGATTCTACGAACTTCAGCCCGGAAAGGGAGTAAGAAATGAATTTCCCAAGTGAAAACATTCCCAGGGATCTGCAGCATCTTCTGTGAAACTTATTTCATACTCCTTCAGCTCTCTTGCCTAAAAGCCCTGTTTCAACTATTCCCTGCATTTTTGCAGACTCCCCATGCATGATACAAGAAGTCATTGAATTTATGAGCACAATCTGGGACCCGCATGGTTTCCTTGGGAATAAAAATAAAGCTTAGTTTTCCACCAGAGTTAGTTTGCACAGAGAACACGCAACGAATTCCAACAATAAGATGTACGCTCACAGAATGGTTTGAGTAGGAATGGACCTTTAAAGGCTATCTGGTCCCACTTTCCTGCAATGAACAGGGACACCCAAGGCTCCATCAGGTGCTCAAACCCTCATCCAACATGGCCTTGGGTATCTCCAAGGAGATGGGCTGTCCAACGAATGGAGGATCTTATAGGAGGCACCACAAGCATGCGGTGACCTGTGGGCACACGTGTTTTAGTGGCTGGAGTTCTGAGTTACCTTATTAGTGTACATCAACCATCAGCTCCCCTATCAACAGCAACGCATGACTTTGAAACACCCCCAGTGTTGAGGGGGTTTGTATGACTAAGAAATTTTGTCAACTGTTAGCTGGGAAATCGCAGTTGTACAAATGAGTGGGGAATCAGCCACTGTCAGCAAGGGTTCCCACTGGAAAACTTCTGCTTCCTATTCAGCCCCAGTGAGTGCAGCAAAACCCTCCAGCTGTCGTATGGATTTCTTCCACGTTACAGCCAGTTTCGTACGAGCCCTGCCTGCTGTCAGGAATTTGCAGGCATTTTTAGGCAGGATGGAGTCACCTCCTAATTGTCTTGGATAAACTGGGTCAGGCTGGAAAGAAAGTGAGAATGGCAGCTGTATGGGCAGCTTTTTGCTGAAAGCTTTCCCAGTGAAAAAAAGGCTTTTTTTTTTTTTTTTTTTTTTTCCCAAAAGGAGAATTTCTGTGGAGAATTATATCCTTGATGTTTCAGTTATTTCTCTCCAACACTCCAGCCACCTCACTGTAGGTGTTAGCAGGTTTTTCTTCCCTGATTCTTTTCCCTTCTCCAAATCCTCCAACAAGAGTGGAAAAAGACTGAAATAAAAAATAATCCAATTCTCCCTTCCTTCACCAGCACGAAATAAATTCTAAGCTGCAGTATTCTCCCCTGAATTCCAAATGAAACGAGATCTACCTCACTGAATTACTCTTTACCTATTTTCCTCTGTATTTTCCTCAGCTGGCCTTAGTTGCAAAAAGCAAGGCAAACCTTACACAACCACCTACACTGCTGAGTGCCTCACACTTGCACAGACTGAAGGATGGTGTTCGTAGGCACAAACTCAGTGCAGCCTCAAAGGAAAGCACTTCTAGCTCCATCACCCCATGAGAACATGTCTGATCACTGCATGGGAGTTGGACTCCATGACCTTTGAGGGTCCCTTCCAACTCAAACAATTCTATGATTCTATGCATTGAGATGAATGGGATCTGATGAGACAAAGATGGACAGCGGGACTGGTTTTGGTGCTGAGCTTCCAAACAAATTATCTTCTCCATCTTCCTGCCTGATCTGAGCTTGGTGAGAAGTGATGAGCTTAGATGGGAGATGAGGCTCCAATGGTGCTGAGTTAGGACAATAGGCTGAGAGGGAATGGCCTCAAGCTGCATCAAAGGGGGTTCAATGTTGGATATTAGGAAGCATTCCTCCAAAGGAGTGGTGATGCACTGGCACAGATTGCTCAGAGAGGTGGTGGGGTCACCATCCCTTGGGGCGTTCAAGAACCACAGGGATGTAGCACTGAGGGCAGTGGCTGTGAGCATGGTGGGGTTGGACTTGGTGATCCCAGAGGACTTTTCCAGCCTTAATGATTCTACGATGCTAACAAACGTCCCTCCTGCTGTAGGAACCAGCTGCAGACTGGATATCTTTGAAGCTAGGGGAACACCATGCCCCGCTGCTGCATCCCCAAACACAGCACGGAAAAAATAATCACTCATTCACATATCCAGGCCAAGAACTTTGCACGCTAATATGTGCTGCACTGTGTGATATCCTTTGTTATGCTATTACCCAGCCTTCTTCAGAAGCTGATCCACTCGGGATTTGCTGAAACTTCAAGGAATTTACAGGCTAGCCAAGCAAATTCACAGTGACAAGATTAGAAAGGCAGGCAAAGCCAACACATCTCTACTGTGGGTGCCTCGTGCCATCTCTGCTGGAGGAAATGGGGCCGTTCTGAAGTCTTTGCTGATGGCTGTGATGAGAGCGGGGAGAACTCAAAATAGGGCAGCATCTGCCACAGAGCAGAGACAGGCACTGAAATTCAGATCAAATTCCCTCGCTTTGATTCATTTTCGTGTGTGTGTCTGTGTTGCTGTTAATCGTGTTTAGTGGTAATGAGGAATAAAGGGCAGTTCCCACAACAGGGATTTCCTTGTGCTTTGTGTGACTTTGCTGTTCCATCAGTTGTTCCAGCCTTCTGGACCGGCCACTTCAGCACATTCATTCCATGCCCAATGACAGCTACTGGCTCCTTACATCAGGGATTAAATAATAAAGGGAAGGAAAACCTCCCCAAGGTGCCCCCTGTCTCCATGCTGCAGCAGCTGAATAAGAAGAGGAAAAATTGCACTCACTTGGGTCACCCAACAGGACAAGATGGAATCGTTTCAAGCTGTGCAAGGGGAGGTTCAGGTGGGATATTAGGAAACATTTGTTCTCTGGAGGAGTGGCTGGGCACTGGCACAGCTGCCCAGGGAGTGGTGGGGTCATCATCCCTGGAGGTGTTCAGGAGGAGATGTGGCACTTAGGGACATAATCAGTGGGCATGGTGGGGGTGGGCTGGGGTTGGACTTGATTTTAGAGTTCTTTTCCCACCTTAATGATTCTGTGATTTTAACTGAGTCCAAACGAGCCCAGAGTTGAGGTTTCTTGCAGCCCGCTGTTTTACCTGTGCATTCCTTGCGGCCAAATTCCAGCATGATGCTTTGCCTGCCCCATCCTGCTAAGGGAAAAGGGACCTCCAGGTGGAGGACAGCGGGCAGCTGGAGGTTGTGGCTTCGTATATCCATCCCCAAAGCATCCCTGGGAGCTGCTCATCCTGCTGTAAATACACCACAAGGGTCTCCCTGGCCAGGGATACGTTCGGATGAAGCAACAGGAAAAGCAATCCAGCAAAATGCTGTGCAAGTTTCATCTCACCAACACTTTCATAGAATCATGAAGGTTGGGAAAGACCTTCGAGATCATTAAGTCCAACCATGAACCATCATCTATGCTCACTAAACTTTCAGGAGGCATCCCTTCCATTGGGGACAATACCAACTTGGAGCTCATCATCCGATTTGGGGTAGAAAACACCAGGAAGAAGGGAGAGCCCCACAAGGATTGCCTAGGAAATGGATGGGGATTTCATCCTCCATTCCTCCACCAGGAAAATATAAAGCATTTTGAGGGCCTTCGTTACCCACAGCTTGGATTCTTTACAGCTTAATTTAACCTGAATATCCAAAAGGTTTTGGTTTGTTTTCTGTTTTTCGTAATAACAAATCTATAGCTTTGGCAGGCATTTATATAAGAAAAACGTAGGGGAAAGATGGATGTTTCCAGCATTTTTCATTCTTGATTTAAAGGAAAATCAATCAAACGCCACTTCAGACAAGATTTATTCTACCAGCTTCAATCAGGAGGCTTTTAGAAAGCGCTCTGCATTAATAATCAATAATAGCAGCCTACATTTTAAAAGTAGCCATCATCTTGGACAAACCAAGCATCTTTTATATCTAAGCTAAGCAAGGAGTGAGGACACTTCAATCATCAATAAAAAGGCAGAACCAGGCAGCTGCCCAGTGGTGCCGACCAATTCAGCATTCAGGAGAGCACCAGAGGAAGAATTCATGTACCCTAGGATGTGCCAAGGGAAGGATGCACAGGTGCTGTCCTTTCTTCTTGCAGGGCAGGAGGAGCAGCTTTGGGGAAAATTCCAGCAAACCCCTCACTGAACAGCGCTTTCATCTCTTTTAGAGCAAGTATTGCAGGCTCTCTGCAAGCTCAGCAATCCTTCTGCTTCAGCTTTACATTAGCACAGAAGATGAAACGTGTGCTTTCGGAGATGTTTCTATCAGGGGTTAAGCCCCAAATCCCACCCATCCCAAGATCCTGGATCCACGCTCTCCCTCCATTCACCTCCATCAGGAGCCTGATGGGAATAGAGCAGATGAAGGCTTGATGAGGAGCAATGGTGACTTAAAGGGTGGTTCATGCAGCCCATAGCCCTTTCCTAGGGATACTTGAGGGAGAAAGCAGTGGGATAGTGCCTCATTCTCTCCTCAGGGAATTAGAGAAAATCCAAAATATTCCCCCTTCCTAGGGCATGGGATGGACTGAACCCAAGGTGAGCTTGGTCAAGAGGTTCACCCACCCATCCCTCTGTGTCAGTGGTCAGGCACCGGCACAGATGTTCCAGGGAGCGAGGAGCTTGGAAGCTGAATGAGATGGGTACAGGTAGACTGGCCCCATTCCTAGTCTCCTCTAGCCCAAATCCACATGCCCAGTCCCATCTTCGTGATAAAGGGCAGATCAGTGTCATCCAGGACATTTGCTTGCACTGTGCCTGCCCGCATTGACAGTGGTATCGGGCTGGAGAGAAGTGGTTAACATGTGGGGGATGAGATGCAGTGATTTTCATATAGGGTCTGTTCTGTTTACTTGTGTGTTTGGGAGAGCGTTTGTGTGTAGGAGGGAAAGGGATAAAAAAGGAAGGGGAAGGAGAAAAGGAAGGGGAAAGAGAAAAGGAAGGGAAAGGAGAAAAGGAAGGGAAAGGAGAAAAGGAAGGGAAAAGGGAAATTTGGAAACTGAAGCCAATCTAGTTAATGTTCAGCTGCTGCTTCACTCCTCACGCATCAAGAAGAGAATTTCACCTATTACTGCATTTGATCTCACTGACACAGACACGCTTCCCTCCTGACTCTTCATACACCTGCTTTTCAGGAACAGCCTGTTTGTGAAAGCCACCAGTTCAGCTGCAGAGCTATGAGGTTGGTGGGGATTTTGCTTTCTGAGCAGCAGCACCCCGTGCACAGCAGCAGCTGGCAAAGGGCTCAGGTGCATGATGCTGCAGCAGCCAGCTTATGACTGACCCTCCTGCTTTGTCACCCACTGCCACACCTGGGTGAGCCACCAGGGAGCTGTGACAGTCACTGTGGCCAGGGAGCGCATCTTGCCAGCCCTGTCCCTTCTCAAGCTGCTTATCACAACCCAGCCTGGCTCAGCAGTGCCAGCACAAAACCAAATCACCCCTTCCAGAGAGCCAGCATGCGTTTCAGATCTGGATCCGTCCCACCGGCTCGTCAGCACAATGTCCCTAATGACGCAGGCTGCTATAATTAGACCCAGGGGGTGCTGGCTTGCCTGAGTTGCGTTGCTTTGCCAGACATGCTCAGCCTTTCCCTTTGCACTCCAGGTGTGGGAGCTCAAACCAGCAAGACCACACTGAAACATGCACTAGGCTACATCAGGGTTTTATGGAACTTGGGATGGGGTGGGGAGATGCCAGCAATCTTGGCCAAAGCACAGGTCCTGAGAGGAGCAGAGCATCCCATAGGGTTGGGCTACAGGAGCTCCATAACCTGAATGGCTCTGAATCTGTACACTTCTTTGGTTGAATAATTTCATCGAGCTGGACTCCATGATCTTTGTGGGTCCTCACCTGTGCCCTCCAACTCAGGATATTCTATGATTCTAACGTTATGAACCAACCCCCTTCCATGATGATACAGATAGTCAAAGGTCTAGCGTCGGGGCTCTGTTCTGCAAACCAAGAAAGATCCAAACCAAAGGGTGGGGATGAAGCAAGTACTTTGAGAAGTTACTTGAGCTGCAAAGGGCACCTAATTCATACAGAAAATCCTCACTCATCCTGTGCACATGGAAAACACATGCAGCAGCACTGCAGAGAGAAGGTGTGGAAAACCAACCTCTGGAGGCATTCAAGGCCAATTTGGATGGGATCTTGAGATGTAGTGGTTGGCAGCCCTATCCACTGCAGGAGGGTTGGAACTCAACAATCTTTAAGGTCCCCTCCAACCTAAGCCATTCCATGATTCTACGATCTTGATTCTGGTGGCCCTCAAGCAACAAAAAATCCCCGTACCCAAGCACGCCGCTGCCCCATTTCCCTTACCTGTCCACGCTGATGATGCACAGGGTCATGATGGAGGCAGTGCAGCACATGACATCCATGGCGATGAACACGTTGCAAAACACCTTCCCAAAGAGCCACTCTCCCCCCACCAGGTCCGTGATGGTCACAAAGGGCATGACAGCAAAGGCCACCGAAAGGTCAGCGGCAGCGAGGGACACCACCAGGTAGTTGGATGGCTGCCGGAGCTTCTTGACAATGCAGACAGAGATGATGACCAGACCGTTGCCTGCGATGGTCATGAGGATGATGATGGAGAGCACAGCTCCAATGACGATCTTCTCAGTGTCCCCATAGAGCAGGATCTCCTCGCCGCAGTCCGTCGCGTTGGTGTGGTTGGATGAAGGCAGGTCTGGCTTGGCAGGGACGGAGGGTTCCTCAGTCATGAATGGATTCGGGAGCGACTCCCGAGCTGGGTACTGCTGCTCTGCGTTCTCCACAAAGAGAAGATGGTGCTCCAGAAACCGCCGGGGGCTGCCCCTCAGCAACATGCTCTGAGCTCTCCACAGCGGGCAATGGCACAGGCTTTCTCCCAGCAGTGACACCTCCAGTGGCAAAGCAGAACATTTTTATCACATGCAGGCTAAGAAAATAAAATATCACCTTCCAGCCCTACCTCTTGCCTCTCGGAGCTGCAGATGGAGCTCATGTGCTCAACGAGGAGCTGTTTCCCAAGTCTGCCTAAAGACGTACAGTTTGCTGGATCTGGAGGATGCTTGGAGGAAGCTTGCTCCACTTCTGAAGGAGCACAAGCTGCCCAGTCTTCCCGCAGCAGCTACCTAATTGCCTACATGCTTTTCCAGCAGCACAGATAGCAGCAGCTGATTGCAATTGCTCATGGCACTAAGCACTGCTGCCAAGCCGCGCTGCTGGGCTCGCACTTCCCATGCACATCCGTATGCCCTGCACATACCATAAGTGAATGCAAGAGTGGGTGACAACACAACCCTCAGCCCCAGAAGGATGCCCATGCACCACCAGCTGCATCTCCTGCGTGTGTCAGTGCACAAACTTCACCCTACAAACCCATCCAGTGCCAACACGGTGACTGCACACACTGAGCTGCATCGGGAACACACACAGCATCGCTGCCACCAGTACAGGCAAAGGGAGGGCTGGGGCATCCCTGAGCTGTGGGGTCCTCGATGTGCACAAGCAGCAGCAGTTCTCCCAGCCATAACATTCATCCCTGCAAATATTTCCCCACCACCGACGGGGAAACTTTGGGGCGAGGCTCACCCTAAGCAGAGCTCTGAGCATCGCGCACGCCCTGCATCCTCCCTCTTTCTGCTTTCCCCTTGAAAGGAGTTCTATTTAAACCCAAGGAATCCCGCAGACCCCTCTTTTCCCCTTTTTGCGTTCTACCCCCAGGGGGTGACGAGGATCCTGTCTTACCTGTGCCGAAGGGGTGAGACATCCTCCAGTCGAACCCCGCGATCTCCAGGCAGGAGAGGAGCCGAGAGCCCCCGGAGCATCATCCTCTCTCCCCTCCCCGGTCCCTCCCACCGCCTCCCTCCCGCCTCTCCCAACAGCTCTGCCTGAGCCCCAGGAAGAGCAAGGAGAGCACAGAGTTATAAGGGGCACAAAAGCAACGGCTGACACTGAATCAAGCCCTACCAGTGGAAAAGCTGGGGGGCACAGCTGGAAGTCGAGCAGCCATCCCTGAGCGCGGTGCTTTGGGTGCAACACAGCTCTGGGGCTGTGCAGGACCATCAGCATCCTTCCCCACTTCTTTTTGCTGAAAGGAATTTTGCAGGGAAGGGTTTCTCTCCCTCTTCCATGCCGTTCTTCTTTTCTTCCTTATCCCCCTCCCCACTCCCTGCCAGTAGGAGGTCCCATATTCATACAGCTTTATGCTAAAGAGATGAGAACAGCTCAGGCTGAGCCTTCTGCTAAGGAAATGGAAACAGAGGAAAACCCAACCTAGCAGGAGCATGCAACCACTTCCATGGGTTGAGCCTGGGAGCACTGGGCACTTTGTGGAGAGCACACTTGGGGAATACAATGGGCACCTCTTAGCATCTTCTCTTTGCCCAGCCCAGCCCTATGCAAGCTCTCCCAGTGTGCAGCACCTGTGCACTGATCACGGGGAAAAGCAGCTTTAACCCAAGGTGCTGCACATTGTGATACCTCAGGTCATTGCCAGACGTTCCCTTCAAAGTGCATCTGAGAATGAAGCTGCATTGAGCTGAACTGGGGCTCAGGCTGAGCTTACCACTTGTGTTTCTCCTTCGCTGTGTGTGTGGGAGGATGGCTAAAATAGCTGCCTTGCCAGGGCAGGCTGTGCTGAAGCGATGGCTCTTTTGCTTATTGCAGTAGAGGTTGCTGCAGCCAGGCGTTAAGATGGGATGGGGTTGATCCCAAAATTTCTTCTCTGAAAAAGCCCTTCCTGGAGAAAAATCCAAGGGTTTCAAAGAAGCAAGTCCAGGCCTTGGTAGGGGGCTTAGAACTAGATGATCTTTGAGGTCCCTTCCAACCCAAGCCAGTCTAGGATTTGGCTTCTCTGTGCTTGGAAGGGTCTGTAGTAGAATATCACCCTCACACCCCTTGCAATGGTTGACACCAAGCCCTTCAAGGTGAATGAATTGCAACAAAATCCACTTTTTGACCTTCTGGGAGGGAAACCTGCAGCAGGGAACGTCTCTGTACAGCACCACAAAGCACGTTGGTTTTCCCCTTCCAGCAAACAAGAGATGAACCGAGCGCCCCAATCTCTGCCCATCTGTGTTCTTCCATCTTCACCAGTGGCCACTGAAGCGGCTATTTTAATAACTATTAATTGTCAACATTAATCTCTATTATCGCTAATGATGAGGTAAAAGTTATTAATATGCAAATTCTGAGAAATCTCATTAACTCCAAGGTCTTCGAGCTCCCAAAGTTTGTGGGATTAGCATCCCAAATTAGGCTTTCCCGCAATGCAGGTGTTGATATTTCTCCCTCTGAGGAGGCAGAACCAATCCAGAGCAATAAAATTATTCACTTGGCCCTATCAGTTTTCAAGGAGCATCAAGTAGGGACTGCTTTTGCTCCTAGGGAGTATCAAAACCTTCTTTGATTTGGAAACAGGGGAGCAGACAATAATCCGACCCCAAGGTTCTTCACTGGTGGCTGAGGTCAGGAATGAGGTTGCCTGGAGTGTTTTAAGGATCTGTAAAGCTTCCAATGTCACCTCCTCCCCAGAGGTTCCTCCAAAAGATATCTCTGTCTCCTGATGGGTCTATAAGCTCAATTCCCAGAGGTTCCAGTAAACACCATCTGGGTGTTGTGGGTACCCAAGAGGTGGTTTAGGCCTCCAAGACACAGCAAAGCAAAATTAACCAGACACTTGAGTTGTCCAAGATGGCAATGGAATACATCCTTCAAAAACCAACCTACAATGCTAAGAAGGGAAAAGAGAATTAAAGAGTCCCTAAATTAGATATGTGGATGTAGAAAGGGATCAATTTTGGTTGGACCAGGACAAGATTTCTTGACCCTCTTCCTCAGCATGAAGTCCTCAGCCCAGCCTAACATTCTCTACCCTCCCATTTCTTTGGCTTCCCCCCAGCAGCAATACAAGGCATTACCTTTCTACAGAATTAAGGTTGGAAAAGACCACTGAGATCATCAGAGCCAACCTTCAACCCATCACCACCATGCTCACAAACCCTCAGAAACTCATCTTCAGGGGAGGAGATGAAGGCACAGTGATGGGACACTGCTCAAAGTGCCCCGTGGGGACTCAGGGTCTGGTCCCATAGCGTTGACAATGGTAGCCAAAGGATTTCAACAAGAGAATCCAGCTAGCAAAGAGTTTCCTGCATAAAATTCTCTTTTCATGTAAGGAAAAGCCAAAGGAGATTTAGGAAGTTCACAACCAAACTGTGATTTGAAGTTCTCAGAGCTAGGCTGTTGTGTTGTTTTTTTTTCTCTCTCTTACTGGACATTTCCCCAAAACAGTCAGAAAATAATAAGACTTTTTGGTTACAAAGTGATGCCATGAATTGTGCTGCCAGAAGAGACGGGGAGCAACAGGGAGCCTTGTGGAAAACCACTGTCCCAAAGAGATGTGCTAACAGCTCGTCTCAGCCCAGAGAGGTGGAAGATGCTCCATCCCTGCAGACACCCAAGGTCAGGTTGGATGGGGCTCTGAGCACTGATGAAGCTGTGGGTATCCCTGTTCACTGCAGGGAGTGGGACCAGATGGCCTTTAAGGGTCCCTTCCAACTCAAACACTATGATTCTATGAGATGGGTGTTACAGCATCAGGCATGGCCACACTCCCTCTGCTGGAGTCTGCACAGACAGCACTCAGCTTTCAGCATTCACGTTGCCAGAGATGTGCATGTTTTGAATAACCAGGAGAAATTACCATTGGGAGTTACCTGTGCACCCCAGTGCAGCCAACCCGTGTGCTGGTGGCATCACAGGGTCTTCCTGATGGCCTGGAGAGATGCAAGTGATGAGGATGAGGCAAAAGAATGCAGGATGGGGAGGAGAGGAGCCCCCAGCAGCACCTGGTGGTCTGCAGATCCAGGAGAGGAAAGAACTGCAAAACTTAAAGAGGAAAGGGTGAAAAAATGAGAGATTTAGTGGAAGTTTCTGATGCAAACCTCCAGCCACACAGTACACAGGCATAATCACTTAATTGCCAGCTTTTATTAGCAAGCTGCTATCATTACTGCCCAATCTTTACTCCAAGTGGTGGCCACATGTTGGATGCGCAGCACTTTCACCTACTGCTCTCCCATCCACCACCTCTGGGGTAGAGCCTGCCTTTAGATATCTGCAGTGACACATGGACTACTTTATTTTGGGGGGGGCATATAAAGAACACACCATCCCACCTCCATCCCATCCAAACGAGAGATGGAACAAAGCAGGTGATACAGAACATGGTTGGACTTGGTGATCTCGGGGGTCTTTTCCAATCTTAATATTCTATGACTGTCCTGGTCGACCCTCTTCTAGATCTCAGCTGGATACAGACCTCTAGAGAACAGCAGGGAGGTTCCTCTAGGATGCCCCCACCAGATGGGACCAAAGCAATGGGGACCAACGTGGTGGTGGGCTGAGGACCTTTGGAGGTGGCAGATGCTTTTGGGTCGGGGAGCAAGCAGCATTGGTTTGGAAATAAAACCCTCCTTGTCTTCTTTGGTCTGTCCCCTAGATGGCACCTGCTCTCAGCAGATTAAATCCCTGATGGAAAGCAGTAGGAAGAGATACGTTACAAACAAAACACCCCTAGAAACCTAAACAACAACAAACCGAGAAAAGCAAAGAAAGAAAACCCTAAACATCAAATGTATATATTTTGATCAATGTATATATATTAAACAAAACCTAGAATTTATAGCTGTTTCATCATTTCTGCTGCTTTTTCCTCTCTGGGTGTTCAGTTCTCTCCTCAAAACACCACTGGGAGAAGGTTACTGGCCTCACCCCAGCTGCTTTCTGCAGCAGTGAGGGGACATCTGGGGGCAAGAAAGGCCACCATCAGATCTCAGCACCTCCATGAACACTTCATCCTTATCGTTTTGGCTGAAGGATGAGAACCCCCACTCCTGCACAGCAGCCATCAGTGTGTCCTGGTGAGAAAGGGAGGATGAGGTGCAGGGAACACATCCCCATCTGACCCCTTCCATCCCGAGCACTGAACGGTGCTGACATTCAGGCTGACTATTCTTAGATCTGCTTTGAACAGGGCACTTGGCACCTCAGAGGGTTATGGCCCTGCCAGGCTGATGCCCAACAGCCACAGCCTCATGTGATGACAGCCAGAAGGCGAGATGTCCTGCCCACCCCTTATCAGCTCCTCATGTATTTAAAGTCCTGCTGTAACATTAAGAACATCATTGCACTGCTTCGGCAGTTTTGCAGCCTTCCCAGTTCACCCCTGCACCCAGAATGGACCTGAGGGATGTCCTGGTTGAGGCCCTGTGGGCTGGTTGAGGTCCTGTGGGCTGAGGATGGAGACCACAGGGGAGGCACAGGTTTCCCTCTGGAGCTGTTGGATTCACAAACTGACGCATGAAGTTCTGCGTAGCAGCTGGCTTCTCCTTCCCTAGGGAGCCCATCTGCTCTTGGTTAGCTCATTCATCCCTTCCCAGCCATCACTGCAGCCTCACACATGGAAGAACATCGTGCTGAACCACTGGAATCATCCAAAGCATTTGGCTTTGACAACCCAACATCCAGCTCTGCACCCTCACTCACCTCAGACTAGGACTTCCAGATTTACTTACTACCATTGCTTACCATTGTAGGAATGCCTGCTTTCATAGAATCATTAAGCTTGGAAAAGAAAAAAAATCAAGTCCAGCTGTCAATACATCAGCACCATACCATCAGCCCTGCCAGGCTGGATGGAGCTCTGAGCACCTGATGGAGCTGTGGATGTCCCTGTTCATTGCAGAGAAGGACCAGGTGGCCTTCGAGCATCCCTAACTCAAACCATTCCGTGAGTCAATTCTGCATGTCCAGGACAGGCCAGTAAGAACATGCTCTGGCTTTCCAGTCATCTTGCTAGAAGTAGACAGCAGGCAGCTTCGTACTGAGCACAAAACCCATCAGGGCCTCAAAATTTGGTGCTGTTCTCACTCTGAGCAATGAAAAATCACCACAACTGTCTCTGGGATCCCTACAGTAGGGCAGAGCATGCCTCAGAATCGCTTCTGAGGAATCTTATCATTACTAAGTTCTCAGCTGTGAGGGTCACACAATGCTGAGGAGTCCTTGGGAAGAGCTCTCAGCTGCCTTCCAGGTATCAGAGCTGTGTGCAATGCTCAGCTCTTAGCACAGAGATCTTGCTTTCTGAAGGATGATTCACTTGCTGAGC